ATCCACAACATTTCATGAAAATGTGACCAACAGTGAGCCACAGACCATCATCTTCCTCAGGCTGCTAGTGGGGCTGAAATAATCCTCTATTCTTTTTAAGGCTGACACAATTGCAGAAACATGTTGGTAATCCATGTTAGACAGGTCAGATATCACTAATTACAGCCCACTGAGCTCTGTCCTATTCAGGCTGATTCAGAATGCTACAAACCAGACCTTCCTGTTTTACAGAGTATAAACCGCTAACGGCTAGCTGCGTACCATAAAGTGTTGAGGACTCTGTGGTCACCGTGTTTGGCGATCCAGTGCAGCACCGTGAACCCGGAGATGAAGTCTCGTCTGTTGAGCAGGGACGAGTCCTCTCTGAACAGCGAGTAGATGTCGGGCCAGGCACCCGCCGCCCCCTTCACCAGCCAGGCGTGCTCCTTGGGCTCCAGAGGAACCAGAGACTGACGACGGAACAAACATCAACTTATTCACTCTCGTGGGAATCAATCATTTGTTATCATACTGTTTTGGTCCTTTTTTTTTTTTTTTAAAGAGTTTGTTTCAGGTTTGTTGGCAAGACATCTGAAAAAGTTAGGACCAGAATCAGTCTGTGCTAGTTGTCACCAGCGTTACTTTTGACCCTGTTCTCCCCTACCAGCAACACTACTATACAAGAGTGGACAGGAGGTTTGACGGGACATTAAAAAGAAACTGCACTACAGGTCTCACCTGCCTACTGGAGCCTTCATGATGAGCAGTGGAAGCGGAGGCGGCGGGGAGGCTCCTCCTCCCTTTCCCCTCCACCCCCTCGATCATGTCGGCGAGGCTGCGGCAGCGAGGCGGCGTGGAGCAGGACGACAGCGAAGAGGATGACAGGTTGTGGTGAAGGCTGAGCGAGGACGAGATCAGGTGGAGGCGGTTCAGACGGGCCGCCTCACTTCCTCCCCCCCTCGTCTCCCCCTGCAGGACCTGGTCGAGGTCGGCTCCCAGGCTGCGGCACATCCTGCTCCTCAACTGGCTGCTGAGGTGCCTGGCGACCGTCGGACGCAGTCGTGGCGGCGGTGTGGAGGTGGAGCCTTCACTCGACTCTGCGTCCTCGCAGTCGTCGCAGAGATCACCTGTGCGATGAAGGAAAGGGAACGCTTTAAACAAGCTCCTTCAACATGTCATTAAAAACAAACGTGTCTGCAGCTGTTCTGAGCGGCCACAGTGGAAGGCGAAGAACCAACTGTCACACTTAAAACCCTGCCTACTTTCACACACACACACATTCTAACTGCAACGCTGGACGTTTTAACGTCTTCTTGACGCAGTCTGATGATGTAACACTGAGAAGTAAGGAATTTTACATTAGAAAATAAAATAATTCATAATGCATCATTATCTTAAGATGCTTATTAATGAGTGAGCCATCTTGCTTTCTTCTCATCTCTGTTGAGAGCTGCACGTGCCAGTTGGGCAGGAGGTACGGATCAGGAAACACCAGACTAATGTAACAGGTATCAATCACAGAAGTACAATTAATCGAATTACAGAAATTGCAATATGGCCATGGTCAGTATCCTAATCCCAGAAGCTGCTGATTTTTAATAAAGATAAAGTATGTGAGAACGGCAGTAGAATGAGGGACTGTAGAGCTGCAGAGAGGCTCTGGCATCCAAATCTTCTTCTCTAGATGTGAGAAAATATGTTTGTTTATTACTGACGCCAACAAATCATCATGATTTGAACTGTTTTTTTCACTGAAAATGAAAATTGTGAGGCAAAAAGGATTATTCCCACTAATTGTAAAACACACAGCAATCGCAAAATATTTGTCAAAAATAATCTCAATATGATTTTTTTACTATATCATACGTAGTGGGTACAAAATAAAAAGCTTATTTACTCTTTGTACATATAATAGTTAGCTCACGTTCTAACATGTCTGCTGTATTTACAGACCTCTTACTATAAATCGTAAAGCTAACATTAGGATTAGCATATTAAAGGACAAGGACAAGTTAGCTTAATGCGCTAATCACTCCAAGAAATATATACTGAAGAGTCGACCAACCAACACAGCCACGCCCATCTCATGGCTGCCATATTTATGTCCATCTATCTGTCATTATTTTACATCACTGTAGCTAGCTATGGCAGATGTCCCCATTCTTAATCACACCTACGTTCTGATTGGTCAATTTTTTCTCAAGCCAGGAAGTTGTCAATGAACACATCATCAGACTTATTTCAATCGCTGATAAATCAGAGATGTGGGCAGAAATGTCTTTAAATATCTGGTTTTGAGTGGCCAACACACCAAAACCCATAGAGTTTGAGATAAAACAGAGAAAAAGCTCAGACTGGAGCAGCAGGCAGAAAGCACTCTGTTTGATCAATGATTCAATTATCAGTGTTATTGGAACTCTGCAGCCAACTCAGTCACACACCATGTAAGATTTTATAAAAACTGTCCTACAGACTCTAGCTCTGACCTGTGGAGTGGTGCCACGGCAACACACGAGCTGTGGGCTCCTGGTTGTCATGGAGATGGTCAGCTGAGTGATGGAATGGTGACAAAGGAGCTTTAGACTCCTGGTCGTCATGGAGATGGCCTGTAGAGTGATGCCAAGGCGCCGTGGTCTTACTGTCAGCATCATGTGTCACAGACTGGGGTTTGGTCCTCTGGGCGCGCTGCAGTACTTCCTGGATTTTGGCCTTGCCTCCAGTCGTACCTGCTGACAGTGAAGGGTTAAAGAATCCACACCTGGTTGTACTAATGGCAGTCTTCTGCCCCCTACAGCTCGAACTCAGCAGTGATTGGCCTTTAAGCGTTTCCATTCGCGGTTCTTCAGGTGGAAGAATGTTGTAGCTCCGCCCACACCATTTGATTGACATGTGAGGCAAAGGCCAGTGCAGACTCTAATTAAACTCAAATATCTCAAGAATCTTCTTTAAAAGGCCAAATTCTGTCTGACTGTGCTAAAGTACATTAAAGAAAACAATAACCAGTGAAGAAATATTAAGAGAAATACTGTGTGACATAAAGGAAGGTTTGTCTTTTCATGGGATTTGTAGGCAATAAAGAAAATAAAGAATATCAGACTTATTCTTTAACTGTACCTGTTCTGGCCTGTAGATACTCGCTGTTCCACCCCGGTCCTCCGGGGGAGCCGTCGCTGCTGGAGACGCCTGCGTCAGACGAGGGGGAGAAGATGCTGCTGTGGCTGGACGACAGCCACGTCCTTTGGTTTGGATCCGGCCCCTGTCTGGGCCCCTCTCTGGGCCCCTCTCTGGGCCCTGGTTGGACACCCGCAGGCTGCGAGTATCTGCGGCCCTTGTGGACATCGCCGTGAGGCTCCACGTATCGCTCCGCCTCTAGAGGCAGGCTGCGTCTGGTGGACTCCCCCAGAACAAATCCAGGTTCCAGCCCAGGCCCGGCCAACTGTCCTCTCTGCCCCACTCCTGACTCCAGGCCCCAGCCTGGGCCACCGGGGGGCAGCACTTCCCCTTTCACATCCTGGATGTAAATCTTCGGGTGGTTCCTTTCTGATGAAGAGGAGGAGGAGGAGACAGAGGGAGGAGCAGGCTGGTCTAGGATGCACGGCGAGGAGGCAAACATGGCCCTCCCCTTATCACCGAGAGGAGCGCTCAGGGGCCACACTCCTCCTGCTGAACCTCGCCTCATTGGAACCTCCTCCTCTTCCTCCTCATCTTCATCATAAGAGACGGCAGACTTGTAGCTCTGTCTGTGTCTTAAGCGGCGTGGGGTGACCTGAGGATGGAGACTGGCGTGATGAAGAGGA